CAATAATATACTTCAGTATCTGTCATTTAGCATGTTTGAGATGCTGGTACTACATTCTGGAAGCCACTGTGGTATGTCACTGAAGTTTCATTGGTTGGTTTTGCTCTAAGCTCTAAAGAATGTTAGTTTATGAACCTTCTCTTATCCTCTTTGAAAAACCTAGTATTAATTGTTGATTTCTGCAAAGCAGTTGAAATAATGGAAACTTTTCTTGTTAACTAAATTTGATACTGGTACTTTAATAACAAAACACTATATTATGAAGAAGGCATGTAAAAATAAAATACTAAACCAAAAATATTAATTGTGTTAATGATACTCTTGTTATTTATTCTATCAAGAATGTCAATATATGGTCTGATCGCATTTAGGTGCTGGAGAAAACAACTGATGGCTGCAAGGGATACGAGGAGGGTGGACATACTCTGTTATCGTGTCTCTTTAGGCCAAAAACTTCTTAATAGGACTGAAAAATACCACAAGCTTTCTGAGATTGTTGATGAAGCTGTTAAGAAGCTTGAAGCTGAAGTAGGTCCATTAACTGGTGTGCCTGTGAAGATGGGTAGGGGTATTGTCAACAGGCTTTCTTCAGGACCAGAAGTTCAGAAGCTCTGTTCTTCAGCGGTGGAGTCACTGGACAAAATGCTTTTTAATACTATCTCACATTCTTCACCAAATCATTCAATACCAGGTAATCTTAAGCTTGTAGATCTCTTAGTTAAATGGGCGTTCCATAACCTCAGATGAAGTGTTAATCATGTGTAATCTTTTACTCATGACAGAAGTCTAACTTTCCTTAATTTCAGTCCATGTCAACACAAAAAAATTCAGTCATTTACTGCCTAGCCACCTAACCTTCAAGTGAATTTTTGGTGGGATATTTTTTGTTGATTTATTTATCAACTTGTCCTTTCATTTTCATCAGGGTCAAGTTCAATTTCTCCAGCAATAGTACGCTTTGAAGACATTTGTGCAACTTCCCTTACTGTGATTGTGGGTTCTGAAGAACCTGTACCAGGCAGTATTATTGGTTACACCTTATGGCATCGCAAGGTTCATGATAGGGATTACCCTGATAAATCAACTTGTACCCTGTTTGTGCCAAACACAAGGTTTGTTGTCACGGGCCTGACTCCAGCTACAGAGTATAATTTCAAAATTATCTCCTTTAATGGTACAAGAGGGTTCGGTCCATGGGAAGTTCCAATTTCAACAGCCTGTAGTGGGGATGAAGTCCCCAGCTGCCTAATGATGGAAAGAAGTCAAAGCCCCACAACCAACTGTAGCAGCCTTTCTAATCCATCTTCGGTGGAGGATGAAACTAATAACATTACTCCATATAGTAATCAGAATGATGACCGGGCAGACATTTATGATACGTATTGCAAGGACACTGATAAAATTGTTTCCACAAATCTATCTAAAGGTGCTATCAACTGCACTGCCCTTGGTGAAGATGGAATTCCAGCGGTTGTGGTTCCTCTGTTGGGTGAGGAACGTGCCATGGAGATAGTTGGTCCTATGCCTGATTCTGATGCACTAAATGTTGAGGAAAAGCACACGTCAGAGGACCCAATTACTGAGGAGACAAGCACCGATCATGGTTGTGATGCCCCAGTGCTGACCGGTACTGAGTGTGTGCCATTTGTCGGTTGCTCAGAAGCTGGCTTGCCCATTACTCCCTGCAGGATGGAAATAATTAAAGATGGACCAGGAAGGAGTGGGAGATCTAAATCTAGCAACAAGGAGCTGGAGAATGGGACTGGCAAAGGAGAAGATCCCCAAGATGGAAGCACCTCAAGGAAGAGAAGTGGGGAAAGGCGGGATGAAGAATGTGTGGAAAATGGTCTCTCCGATACGGATTTTGAGCATTGTGTGAAGGTGATCAGATGGTTAGAGTGTAAGGGACATATTGAGAAGAACTTTAGGCAGAAATTCCTCACCTGGTACAGCTTGAGAGCAACCCCACAGGAGGTGAGGATTGTGAAGGTCTTTGTTGATATCTTCATTACAGATCCAGCATCTCTTGCAGAGCAACTTGTGGACACATTTTCAGATTGTATCTCGAGCAAGCGATCATCTGTCGTACCTGCAGGTTTTTGCATGAAGCTTTGGCATTGACATGAATGGGTCATGCTGAGGAACAAGTAGTTTTTGAATGCAAACCTGCTCAGGGTTTGTGTTAGCATAATTCTTTAGACCCGTAACATTCTTCATTTAGACTGTCACCATGATTTACATTGACCATTAGCTTTTGTCATTCTTATGATTACGTAAGAATGCCAGAATTCTTATCCTTTCATATAACACTTATTGGCTCATTCACTCAGGTTGTAAATCCCAATGGTGCTTCCATTTTATTCAGTATACTTGTCTCAACACAAAATAATAGCAATCCAAGATCACAAGCAGTGTAGCAGATCCATCCGCATTCGATGGCAGGCATTTTCCCCTAAATTTTCATTTTTAAATCTATTTTTTTTGGGGTTGCTGATGCTTAGGAGTTCCATCAGATTACTGAAGCAAATCCATGCATGCCCCTTCAATTTCCAGCGATCTCTCTTATATCATATTATACGTTATATCAGGCAAAAATCTCAGCATTTCTTACAGCTTCCACTGCAACATTATTGTAACTCGGCTGCCTCTTTGAAATTTAAACCCCTCTTCTGCTGCAGCTGTATATAGTAAACAGTTTCAACTTGGTAACTAGCTATGGAATCGATATTAAGTATTCAGATGAGGGAAACGCCAAAGGGATAGAAAAGAATCATCCGTCATCCATTGTTTTGATTTCAAGCGGTTATGCTGATGTCTCCAACTTGGTACACCAAATGACAGCTAAGTGGAATCATTGGTTGGCGGGTCCAAACACTTATCCCTGATTGCCAAACGTACGGCCAAGGGTGAAAAATGGTAAAAAATGGCAGAGATGTTGATGATAAAACCAAAGCCAAAGTGTCTTAAAAACGGCTTCACTATCTTGTACAAATCGTCTTCTCAGTAATTTTCTTTCTCTTTAACAAACAATACATCAGCTTACAAGCATCAAACCAACTCCTTTTGTCCTTTTATTTTTCCCATTTCCATGTTCACTGCCTGAAGATAAACTATTGATCATTTATACTCGCACGGTCAGTGATGATGTTATAGCTTGTTCAATTTTCTTTTTCAACATCCAGTCCTCCAAGATGTCTACCGGAATCTTTGCAGCTACAGTCTATGGTTCCGGCTTTGTTGGCTTGAAAACCAATGTTCCAAAGCTGCTCCCTGCTAACGATTCCATTGCATAGAGCCAGAAAACTGTCTCCAAAGGTTCAAGAATTCACTGCATGAAGGTGTACAGTGATCAGAGTAAAATGTCTGGAAACTGCTCAACTTCCGATCTTACGTGTTTTGCTGATTTCTAATATGTAGTTGTCTTTCGATTTAACAGACATGGAATCCAATAAATTAGAAATTTGAAACATTCTCTTACCTTCCATCTCTGTCAGATGAGTCGATTGCAAAGGAAATTGACTACATGATGAAAAAGGGGTGGATTCCTTGCCTTGAATTTGACGAGGTAATAAGAACTATATGTGTTTCACTTACAGATGCAAATATTCAGAATAGAAGCTTCTTCGTTTAAATACGGTCCTGTGCATGCATCTCAGTCAAGCCATTCTCCAAGTTTCACGCTGCATAAATCCCTTCGTGTATAAAAATTTCTGCGTCCAGTGGATATGCTTGAGCAGAAATGGTTGCAGAATAAATTTTTGTTTCTTCACTTTCCATGAAACCTCCTTGTTCTGATTCAAGATCCCAGCTGCATATTTTTTCTTCATTTTTTGCTTAGTGGGGTTTGCCTAGATTGTGTCACTGTCAACTTCTATCTGTTTAAAAACTGCTTTCCTTTATAAATGATTGGGTGGGGGCTGTCCACAGAGAGAATAGCAGAATTCCAGGGTACTTTGGTGGGAGGTATTCGACACTGTGGAAGCTGCCAATGTTTGGCTGCAATGACTCCTCTCAAGTCCTCAATGAAATTCATGAGTGCAAAATGGCATACCCAAATGCATATATCCGCTGCCTGGCATTTGACAACAAGCACCAGGTTCAATGCATGGCCTTTGTCATTCAGAGACCTACTACAAATATCAGCAGCAACAAATGAGCAATGGGCTTTTCCCCAATCTATCTTTCCTCCACTTCCCCTTTGTTAATCTAACAATAATATGAATATGATCCCCCTTTCTGCCTTCTGTCATTTTCTTTGTTGGGTGTTGAAAGCTTTTATTAAAAAAACAATAATAATGGCTGAAAAAGTTAAATGGTTTGTGACATCTGCTTAGGCACATGGCTTTGGGGTTCGGGGATTCGTTTCAATGGGGAAGAGCTCCCTTTTGATTTGGTTCGACTGTCCCCAGATTTGTATCAACTTTCTCTGGGGCATGATGATCATAATATGCCCAATTATTATGACTTGTCTAGTTCGATTTTTCCACCAAAACGCTTTAAACTTCTCTTTTATTAAATTATTATTATTGACACTCCAACAAGCTTTAAAATATTCGTTTCATGACGATTACATAAAATATCGTATTTCTTCCTATGTCTGAAAACTTGCCCGCTGGATAGGATAGACGTAGAGCTTAACACTAACTTCACAAGTTTTTTTTACAAAAGAAATTGCAATGCGAAGATAAAGAGAAAATGTCGTAAGTGTTGAAAATTGAAATTTAAACTTATTAAATGTCATCTTTTGTCATTTTTAAGAGTGGTTGTACAAATCAAATGAATTAAATTCCAAAGTTAGTATCGAAGAATAAACTAAAATGATTAGAAAATCCTATAATGATCAAATCTATAATTTTATTAAATTTACAAATTTCGTGATTAATTTGTGTTTAAATCTGGGGTAGAAAGAACAAGCTGCCTGCACTATCTCTTTTGAAACTTTGAAACTCTAAAATAGTACCTGTAATAGGGGTGGAGGAAAACAACCAAGGCGCATCAAATGCAGAAAAATGGTTCTGGGCATTCAACTAAGAAATGCAACACTCACAGTTACCGCATCCAAATCCAGCAGTTGCGGTCACTTGGCACTATAAGATGCTACATATTAATACAAGTATCAAACCTTTTGAGAAATGAGTGACTAAAAGCACAACGCAAAGGGTTCAAAGTCTCACACATAGATGTCACCCCTGCTTCAATTTGGCTAAGAAACCACTAGCAATCTGCAAAATACACAAACTATAGTTAAAATCCAAAAATATTTTTACTCAAACAAGGTTCATTTATCAGGTCCATCCAAAGGGCTCAAAAGTTTATTACTACACCTTGTATGTATAAGGAGCCAGAATTTTCTAAGATGACTTCCATAAAAAATATGGCTGCATCCTTGATTGCTAAGGTCAAAGGCTGATAAAACAGTGGACAATGATCTATGATCGTCTAAAGAGTCAAACAAACAACAAGTAGGTTTTTAAGCTAACAGTATTGAGGTTGTGCAAGTTAGGTGTAAATATCCACATATCAAGTCCATGGATGTCCAAGCAAAAAGAATTAAGGATGGGTTGTCCGATGAAATCCTTATATTGACCATGTTACTCCAAATGTAATCAGGGAAATCTATAAGATACAATAAGTATCACATCATATTAATTTTCGATTTATGGGATCAATTGTGATTTTAATATATTTAAGGGTATTTTAAGACATTCAAACTAATTAGTGATGTACATTCTCATTCACCAAGTATTGAAGTCTAGAAGTAATTTATAAATACCAATTATTTCAGTTGTTGTAGCTTTTGATAATATTAACTGTCAAGTCTTGAGTTATTAGCATTGAGATTGGTCCCATTAGTTCCGTCTGTTTTTCAATATTCTCCCTCATTTCCCTGTGCTTTTGTCCTCTTTTCCTCTAATTTATTTTTGTCCTATTTTCTCTTTCTTGCCTCCCTTGTATTACATCATGGCTGGAATAACCAAGTATGAAGATTGTATTAAAGATAACAAAAGAGTATCACTAAACATGAGGAAGGATCTCTAAGCTTCACACCTATGGTTACTTGGTTACATCACAATTTTTGGAAAAAAAAAGAATATAAGTTTCATACCTAGGATTTCTTGATTGCATTATATGATAAAGAAGAAATAAAACCTAAGGTTCCGTACGAGTCGCTTCTAAGGTTGATTGAATCACACAATTACAAAGCGCAAAGCTAGAAATTCTCTGATATAAAACTATATCTCAATAAGTACATTGAAGGCCACATTCTTCACTTTGAGAAATCAGGTATGTACCAACTTTAGTACTTTAGGAAATATGATATATCAAGATAGTTCATATGTATTAAATATAATAAATAACAAAATATATATCATTTGACCATTAAAGAAAAACCAATAGGTATAAATAATTGAAGATCCCGCAAAGTTATAAGGCTAATGTTTTGCTTGTATGTTTTCCAAGCTTCTTCTTTACCATTTGATGGTGCTAGGTATGGTATTTGTAAAGTGGAAAATTTTAAGTTAATGTTCGAAGGCTAAAATGTTTAATTCATCTTGGAGAAATGCTTGTCAACACCAATTTGAGAAATGAAAAGCAAACTTAGATTTCTAGCCCTAACACAAAATTATTGTTATCATTACTAAAATCAAGTTAAAACAAACCCTAAGCCATATGGTGTACAATTACAGCATATTATTTCACCCTTCAATCTTTCTTGTTGCTATATTGCAAGCTCTAAAACTCCATCCCTTTAACTTGATGGAACCAGGTGAGGTCAAAATACATTATTTAAAAAAGACAAGTTCTCAAGCTTCTTGCACTGGCTACTACTAGTATAAGATATTAAGCTCATTTCCACCTTGATCAAAGCACATTGTAGATCTGAAAACCATTGATAGGAGCCATCAATAAGCTCATAGAGACAATGGACAATACAGGATGGAAAAGTGCTGCTTGGGGGACTAAGCTAAGAATTTTATTTTGTAATATTGTTATATATTATGCATTTTATGCTAAATCTTTCTATAGGATTTAGGTTATTGTAGAATATTTAGGCTATTTTGATACTAAAAATTAGCATTTTTAATGTATTTTCTCAAGTATTAGGGCATTAAGGTTATAATTGGTATGGTATTTTGCAAGTATATTAGGGTTTAAAATAGTCCTTATCAGACCATAAGTGCCAGTTTTTTGGCGACTAGAGATGGTAGAAATCTATATATACAGAGTACTATTTCTATTGAGATATGGAATTATTCTCCTAGAATTTCCAGCATTATAGCACTAGCAATTGTGTGCTGTACCAAACTGATTCATAACAACTAGGTGAATAAGGTGTGTGGCAATTTCCAGGTCTGAATTGTTGAAAACAGAGGAAATTGAATAAAAGAATAGAAATAGGATATAGAGACAACTAGTAACATGGGCACCCTATGCTAAGGAAACTGAGTTCCAAAAATTTGCCTTCATGTAATCTAAAAGATATACCTTCGCATAGCGCATTAAGGAAGTCAAGCACAAATATTGTCAGTGTTGAACCCTGTAACTAACTCACCAAGCTTTAACATCTTCAAAGATGAATGTCGTTTGATGTCTTTCTGGCATCAAATATCATTAAACATACGCCTTGCTTTTCATGCTAGCACTCAAAATGGATCACCAACCCCAGTGCTAGGAAGATGAATAACCTGTATGCAACAGCAACTTGGGATAGCCTAAGTTTGAAAAAATAGCACTCACACACGTACACAAAGTTGTTGTAGTAGGACCACTAGGCTTCTAGATCCTAAAATATGCTAAAATCAATAAGAATTCTTATTCAATGGAGCAACAACTCAGATTGAACTGTAACTCTACTATAACTCAAAGCATAGTGCATCAAGTCAAAGCACAAATACCGTCATTTTTGAACCTTGTAACTAACTCACCAAGCTTTAACATCTTCGAAGATGAATGCCATTTGACATTGTTATGGCATCAAATATCATTAAACATATGCTGTGCTTTTCATGCCAGCACTCAAAATGGATGACCATCCCCAGTGCTAGGAAGATGACTAAATTGTATGCTACAGCAATTTGGGACAGCCTAAGTTCACAAAAATAGCACACACACATACACTAAGTTGTAGTAGGACCACTTGGCTTCTAGATCCTAAAATATGCGAAAATCAATAAGATTTCTTATTCAATAGAGCAACAACTCAGATTGAACATTAACTCTACTAAAACTCAAATGTCAGAAACCAATTTATTTGCTATGCAAGCAGATGCTGAGTTTTCTTAGAGCTAGTTAGTTTCAACATTAGTCTTCCTTGCTGTAATACTAATGCGAATGAAAAATCAAACATATAACTTAAATAAGGACTGATTCCAAATTCAATAATTAAATTGACAAACCAACAAGCAATCACGTATAATAACACGAAATTGAGAAAACCCACAGAAAAGAAAATAATGAAACAAAACAGGCATCCAAATCAGCAGAGTCATAATAGAAAAAACCCTAACCTTGAAAATGCTTTCAATCACTAAATGAATTCTAGCGATTGCGCTCAGCGGGCAATGGACGATTAAAACCGCCTCTTCGATTCATATACTGCCTGGGCTGCCGCTTAGTCACAGCCCTAACTCCACTAACATCAGCCCCTGGCACATGTTTTCCTTTCGTGGAATCAAAACCAACTGGAATCCCTAACTTCTTCATCATGTCCATCTCATCGTCCTCTCCTCCATCTCCATTCTCATTCCCATTATTATCATTCTCTTTCTTTTGCTGCTGCTCTTTCGCTATCTCATCCACAAAATCCGACACCGCCTTTTGCCTATCTTTCTCCTTCTCCCTCTCCTCGCTTCCATGGCGGTGCCGTTTCCTAGGCGGCTCCGCTGATGGTATTCGGTGCCGATTCCGGTGATGGCGCTGGGATGAGCGTTCCGGGGACCGCGTATGAGCAGGGGAGCGTGAAAGGTAACGTTCGCGCTCGGGGGAACGCGTGCGAGAGCGCGTGTGACGAGACCGGGTGCGGTCCGGTGTACGGGATCTCTTGCTGCGTGCCCGCTCTCTGTCTCTGTCTCGCTCACGGTCTCGTTCGTGGTCATCTCTGTCGCGTCGGCGTTCTCTGTCGCGGTCGCGATCACTCTCGCGTTCTCGGTCTCTGTCGCGGTCCCTCAGGCGTTGCTTGCCACGATCTGACATTGTGGACAACGGCGGCGGTTAACAGAAGGGATAGCGTCCAGCAATTACCGTTGGAACAAAGGGAGTAAGAATTTTGGAAACTGCGAATTTATAAAATCTGGAAGGGCTCCAAAACCCTGTTCTTTACCCCTTTACTGAGGTAAGGGGGGAGAAAGGAAAACAAAGGAAAGAAAATAGGGAATTTTTTTATCGATGGTATAAGACGTAAATAAAAATATAAGAAAAGAAAATACGCTTAGTTTTTTTAAAATTTTTTATTTATTTCAAATTAGAAGAAAAGGAAAGGAAAAAAATAAATATTTTAAAATATAAAATAATTATTATATCTTTATTAATTTCTCTAAATTATAAAATATATGATTTTAAATTTCAAAATTAGATTGAGAATATAAAATATCATTTATCAATAAATTTATTATCTCTAATTTTTTTCTCTTATTTTTATGAATTTCATAAATTTCATTAATGACTATTTTTATTAATAAATAAAGAAAACTTGAAAATATGAAATATATTAACACAAACATGTAAATGTTATAGTAAAAATAAAATCTTTTCATTATTTAATTAAGCAATATTTGTGAGGATTCTTTTATTTTATTTATTTTATTAATTTTAGTTATCCAAATAAATGATACATATATTCTTTTTTTCTTTTAAAAAAACTTATCTTCCTTTACTTTACTTTCATTTTTTTTTATTAATATTTATCCAAATATAGCATTAAGCACTCGACTTTTTTAAAATAAATACTAAACTTTTTTTTGGAATTTATTTTTTATATATTTGATGAATCTTTAATAAGATTATTTTTAAATTAGTTGGCATATTATTGAAATTGTTATTTAAAATTTATGAATTTAAAAAATTTAGATATATAATATTTTTTAATCATATATATATATAATAAGATAATGAGTTTAAAAATAGAATAAAAACTTTATAAAAAATCCATTGAGATCGAATTTTTGAAATATTAAGATTTTTGAGTATTTTATTATGGAATCAATATGCCAGTGCATGTAGAAACAATAGAATTATTTGTTATTTGATTTCGTTACTATATGATAAGGAATATTTAATTATCACATTTGGTTCAAAATTAATATTTTTAAAAAGGATTATATTAATTTCATAAAATTTTCAATTTTTTTGAACTAAAATCCTAAGTTTCAAATAAAAATAATTTGTTTAAAAAATATAAAAATTCAAATATTTAGTCATGGTAAGTTTCTAAATTGGTTGTAAGAGGAAGTTTTCTTACGTGGGAAGAGATTTATTGATTGAAGATAAATTTTTGTATAAGAAATGATTTTGTCATTGAATTTTAATATGTTTGTGTTGTTTGTAAAGAATCATAGTTTATGCAAAAGGATGTTAATTTGTTTGGAGAGGAGTCTGATTTTGAACAAGATCCTTAAAACATCGAATGCAATAAAAATATAAAAAAATAATAAAAAAAAACTTGAGGAGTCTTTCGGGTACTTAGAAAGGCTAAAGATAATAATGCTTCGACTTGAATTAAATTTGATTTAATTTTTTAGATATTGTATAATATTATAAAAATTTAAAATTTAATTAAAATTTAAATTGAATTTTTATTTGAATCAAATTGAATCGAATTGAATTTTATTAATTAGTTAGGTTCAGTTTATTAATTTTTAATTTGTTAATTTTTTATATTATTTTAATATAAAATTTTAATATATTTATGTAAATTTTGATATAAAATTATTATTTTTATTTTAAAAATTTAAAATATTACTAAAAATATATATAATTAAATTAAATTAAATTTTTTTTATTTTTCATCTGAAATTTGATTCAAACTTAATATATATATATATTTAATATTCGAGTTTGATTTGAATCAAATAAAAAAAAAAAAACTGATTTTAATGGAATTAAACATTATAATTTTAGATTTTTTTTTTTTGATTTTTTTTTCTCTTTAAGGCTAATGTCTTATTTGAGAAGAAATTGACTTATTGAAAGCAAACGACTCAAGTTGCACTTAGTTGTTCATACTCACGTGAAGCTTTGCTTACGACCAGCGAATGTGCCTTGGTGTTTGCTATTTTTGAGGTTTTATAAATTTTTTATTGTTTAGTGGATTCATGTTACCTATAATTTTCTTTCTTACACTATTACAATTAGTCAATCAAATCAAATATTACATAAGAATACATCCATTAAAAATGTGAGTTTTACATAAATTTTTGATAAATCTTACATAATATTAAATTATAATTGATTAATTATATTAAAATAATTATAAGTGATATGTTACTCTTTTTAATTAACTTATTGATTCCGCTTTAACTCTTAATTGATTCTAGTCAAAGCCTTGATGTATTTGTTTGCTATTAAAAAGTCATATCTCTAACAAAATTACTTTACCTGAAACAATTTACGATGCAATATTGCAACCTTTTAGGTTCTTTCCCTGTTTAAGATTTAGGAATAGCTCTAACTTTACCTCGTTCTTAATATTTTTTATTTTACAAATTACTTAAATATTTATTTTTTTAATTACATCTTTTGGTGCTCGATGTTTGTAGTGACTATGAGCTTATTTTATTTCAATATTATGTTCATATTTAATGTATAAGATCAAAATATTATAAGAGGTTGTACAAATTTAATTTATTCCTCTAGAAGTCTGTAGCCTACTTTAAATAGGCCTGATCTGACATATCGTATTTGGGCTGACCATTATCTCATATGAACACATAATTGGGCTTCTCCGAAGTCTTGGTTTAACACTATAATTGAAAACAAACTCAAATATGGCTACTCCTAAATCTTGGTTCAATACAAAATTGGGCCAAAATTATCCTTTAATATGAACAACCAACTAATACTTTATTTTGCAAAATCAGTGCCTGGGTTGGCAGTTCAAACTGGAATTCACAAGTTCGACCCAATTTTATAAGATTAATTTTTTTTTAAATCAAATTTTGAATCGGATCAAATCAAATATTAATAAGTAAAAATTGAGTTCGGATCAGATTCAGATTTTAGGCAAACCTAATCTTATCTGATATTATATAAAAAATTATTTTTTTAATTATTTTTTATATATTTATATATATTTTATATATTTATATTTAAAAAATAATATTTTATATTTTAAAAAATAATATTTTATTAATTTCGGGTCCGATACAATTTATACAATGTCGGGTTCAAGTAAAAAAAATTAAAAATATTTCGAGTTAGGTATAGGTATAAATTTTATGATTATAAAATCGGTTCGGGTTCGAGACGAGTAAAAACCTACCTCGATCCGATTCATTGTCATCCTTACTGTGTGAATATCTTAACTTGTTTGGTAGTTTTAATTTTTTTTAAACTCAAACATCAATTGCTGATGTGATCTTTCTTTTAATTTAAAATATTGGATGAGTGACGCATATATAGCATATAAAGCCCATGGTTAATGGAATAAAATTTACATAAAATTTTATATGGAGAGTTTGTGAAATTTTTTATTAAAAATAAATAAATAAAAATTTTAATAAAAAATATTGAATCAATAGAGTTTAATGTGAAGATTAATAATATATAAAAAAATTATTAAAAAATTTATTTATAATTTAAATTTGATTGATACTTATTTAACAAATAAAATTTTGTCAATATTTTTATTAAAACTATTTATTTAATAAATATATCCAAATTTATTAATTTTTTTTAAAATTTTGCACATTTAATCTATGTGATAAAATCTTTCAATTTATCATTTTGATTTTTGATTTTAATTTTTATTCACTCATTTCTTACAAAGAATTTCACAAACTTCACTTATAAAATTTCATATAAATTTTTTCTTAGATAAAGAGATGTGTTTAGCACTTAAATAATCATTAAATCGCATTAAGAACCTTTAATCAACTAATGAAGCAAATAAGGACATAAATGATAAATATCTTAGTGACCTTGTTGCCTGTTTTTGGTTTCTTTTTGTTTGGAGAAGAGACAAATTAAATACCAACGAATATTAGATAAATAATAAGAAAGTTTGCTTATTTTTTGACGGTCTCAAATTCGAATTTATTGAGAGACCATGAAAAATTAACTTTTAGTCTAACATAAATAAATCCATTTAAACAAATCCCCAAAAAGAATATACGAAACGAAATCTAAAGATCCTTTACTACTTGAAAAATAAAAAAAATGGATTAGATATAACTTTTGAACAAGGAATACATGCACGTATCCTTGTACCAACTTTTGGATTTTTTTTTTCGTTTTTATTATATTTTATTTATTTTTCTCTCGTTTCAATGTTATGGTTCAGAAGTTAATTTCTTTGTTTGACATTTCTTTTGTAAGCAACAAAAGTCATTCCAGAAAGAAGATATTTTGCCCTAAGTTCTTTGTAAGACCAAAATTTTGATGGAAATGGGTCGGGATGATTGGTATGAAACATGCCAACTTTCAACATTATTAAAGAATTATTTACCAAAAAAAAAAAACACTATTATTAAAGAAAACCAAGATGCCGTTTATGTGTGGGATTCACAAACCATTGTTCGTTTGGACTTAATAGCATCATATTGGATGGGAAAACAAAGAATAATTCATTGGAGAATTTGTAGTCCAAATGATGTATGAATTGAGAAACAAGGATTTTAGACTTTTGTCAAGGAGTGTCCCAAGGTCAATTTCGATTAATTTGTTATTTATAATAATAATTTTATATTATATAACAGTTGATAATTAATATAATAAATTTTTATTGTATTAAAATTTTTTTATATAAAAGAGATCATAGATTAAAAAAAAGATTATGAGTATTATAATTTAAAATTATTAAATATCACATTTTAAAAGTAATTGTAAGAACGAATTAGATTAAGCAAATGATTTTATCAGTATTGATAATACTTCTTATCCCAACAATCGTGCCTTTTTTTTTTTATCTCACTTGGTGCAAAAATAATTATAAGGCAAATTAAAAAAATGAGATCACCCAAGTCAGTTATTTATAAACGCATGTTTTAAGTTGAACCTGGATTAGGTGGGACAAATAGTTGTCATAAAAATGTTGAGATTAATAGTAACATTTTTGTTATATTTTATATGATAATTTCAAAGAGTTACCTAAACGCACTCGTCACGAAACCCAAAATTTCATCTTTCAAGTTGACATTATTTTTTTTTCGTGTCATCATTTCCATCTTCAGTCTTCACTTACA